GAGCCTGACATTGTCCTATCGGCCTGGACCACCTCCCTCTGGACTGTCATGTGTGACAGCAAGAAATTTCTATTCTTATTTAAACCACTGAACTTTGGAATTTCTTTCACTCCCATTTTTAATATAAATATCAATCTTAATGCTACTGGTACTAACAGGGAATCCAGTCTTGGATATAAAAGCAATTGTAGTCTGGATAATCCAAACTATATAATCCATATATGAATAACAATTAATGATCATGTAGTGTAATGGCCTGCTGAAATGTGAAAGGGTTAAAGAATAATTAAAACCTGAAACTGGACAAAGGAAGTCTATAACTTAGGCCTAGTTTCTGGAACCCCTAACCACATTCTGTTAATCATGAAACTTGTAACAATGAGCTCATACGCTAACTGCCAATTTTAGCCTATGTAACCCTGCTTGCTTGCGTGGCATGAAAAATAATCAATTGTATATAAGCTGAAAATTACTATTTGGCCATCGCCCATGGGAACACCGACTATTGTCCATGGGAACATAGGCAATCACCCATAGGAACATAACATTCTAACACAAGCTTTCTGCTTCTGTACTTCCCGCTTGCACACCTGGCCAGTGGGTTGAGTTGACAGGTAGTGAATAGGAGAAAGATGGACCTTTGTGTTTAAGACAGAATGAGGAATGGGATTTGGGGCTTAAAAACCTTGTATCTTGGCATTTCGTGGCTGCTCCTTTGCAAGGACAGCCGCCGGCTAATAAACTGTCTCCTGGTTAAGAGCACTCAAGTTGGGTCTGGTTATTCTGGACACAACAGTAGTATTAGGGCTTGAACACAATAAATTAAGTTGCAGAGTTCTTCTATTCAGATGAGATAAGCATCTAGGTCCTGGTTCTTGTCCTTCATGTAACTGAGGTACTTGATTCAAGAGTCTGTGAGACCCCTTTTCTCCTGAAGAACTACAGCCACACATATTCGATATTAGTCCAGGCCTTCTCTCTTCTGCTGGATTTGCTGACCTTCATCGGAATCTAGTGTACAGATTCCTTGAGAGTAATAGCTATCTATTACATGGCTCTTTGATTCCTTCTATCTCTACCAAACTGTGCAGTCTACAAGAACAAGTTTATAAGAACAAGGTCTATGTGTTATAGAGGTAAAATGGCCATTGTCCCTGGTGATCCAAGTCTTCTTTATTTGGCTCAGCATGGCTTTGTCTCACTTCTTAGCCTTCGGGGAGGCCATTTCTCCAAAGTGACAAGTAACTTTTCCTCCTGATAGTGCTTCTTGTGCTGTTCATTGTCTAAAGTAGGGTTGATTCCTGTCCTTTCTTCCTTGCCCTAAAATTTGCTCAAACCAGTGATCTGAATGCCTGAAACTTTAGATGTCAAGAGCTCCTCTTAACCAGAGGTAAAACTTTTCTTTAATCATTGTTATAATGTAAATATGTGACATGAAAAGGTACCTGATTAATCCATGACTCCACTGACATGAGTTAGTTTACCAGATTAGCTACCTAAAGCCTAAAAGACACAGGATAAGGAAATGGAACGTCCTGGGAAAATGGAAACAAACTTGTGTATGGTCTGTTAAGTAAGTCAAAGCTGGGTACTTATTGAGTACCTATTATCTTCCAGCATAACACATTAGCTCCTGGCTAAAGGCCACTGAGGAGGAAAAGAGGATACCAGAGGAGGTTCCGGAGGTGTGGGGCGGGGGAGAGCACCAAGACAACTTCACAAAACTAGCCAAAGAAAGCTAGAACTTCGGGGCCAGACAATGTTCCCTGTTATGCTATCCTCTGGCGGTAGGAGCCAGAGGTTCCTTTAGAAGAAAGCAGGAACTTCTAGCCAGCCAGTGGGGGATGGTAAACAGATCTCAGTCAGCCATGGGACACTGGGATATTTGCCTACTGTGCTATTGGACAGATTGTTCTTTGCAACTTTTTTAGGTTTAGAAAAAATAAGAGGTGTCCTTCACTTCACAAGGCTACTGTGCACCCTTGTTTTCTTGTATATCACTCAGTTCTGCTTGGCTTTTTCCATAAATTCCTCAAAAGACATTTTCTCCTTTTTACAGGAATTTCCAAATCCTCTACCTTCAGTTAAGGGATTATTTTTGATGCTATCACTGGCTGGTATTTTTAGTATGAGATGATGTTATTTGAATTCTTATTGATCATTTAGTCCTATTGATAATTAGTATACTATATAAGGTGAATCTTTTATAAGAGTTAATTAACAGGAAAGAACAATTAGAAATATGGTAGTTGTGATCATTTGTTAATACTTCTATCAGACCAGGCTAGTCATTTGCATATTAACATGAAATTCTGACATTTATTTGGGCAATTAAAAGAAAACGGTCTGTATTATTTGTACTTAATTCATGAATCTTGAATTTCAATATATAGCAGATTGAATTAACAATATCTTTTCTTACAATCAATTAATACATTTTTGAGTAAAACAACATGATTATCCTTAAACCACAACAATGTGACCATTTAGATTCACAAATTTTCTGACGTTCTTTGTCAAAGACATTAGCTGATCTTTGGTTAGAAGAACATATTTAAATTTGCTCAGTTGTGATTGGAAATATTCTATGGTTATAGAATATTGTGAGGATATGTGACAACATAGTCTAGACAAAATGAAGAACATTAGGGTTTGTCAGGGTGCTAAAAGTATACTCTCAGTCCTTCTTGTGGAATAAAGATAAGTAACTACTTGACTGGTTGAGTCTCATTCAGTCTTGAAATGGATGAACTTTTTAAAAGATCTATTGTGATCCTATTGCTTGGTTAATACAGGAAACATTCTCAACACCATTCCTCCTATCGCCTCATGCAATAGAGGCTAGAAATCAGTATACTTACTTTCTCCTCATCCTTAGCAACAAGGACTGCCCTTGTGATCCATTTTTCACCAATGACCTATAAGCTGAAGGCTGTGGGAGGTTAGGGGAGGCACTTAAGGATTTTTTACTCTTCCTTATTCTTGGAGCCTTGAATGTGGATAGAATGCCTGGAGTAGCAGGAATCAACTTGAAAACGAACTTGAAGACAAAAAATAAAAAAAAAAAAAAAAAAAAAAAAGCCAGGGCTTTTGATAACACTGCGAAGTGGCTACACATCTTTCATGTTGCCTTCCTCCAGACTATTAATTATATAAGATGATTAAATAACTTTATTGCTTTAGTAATGGCCAGTTTTGTTGTTGCTGTCACCTGCAGCCAACAGCAGCTTATTCATATAGTTCTCCAACAGTTTGAGGGGGTTAGTCTACAACTATTTGAAGACCGAGTTAGTTCTCTGTCATAAAAATGGTAGAAATTTACTTTCATGAGAGTAATCTAATGCAGCACTTTCCAAAAGAATTTGTGTGATGATAGAACTGTTCATACAGATGATACAGAATATGTGACCATTGAACTCTAAAATGTGGCTAGTGCAATAAAAGAAATGAAATTTTAATTTTATTTGGTTTTAATTAATTTAAATTGAAAGTAAAATGGTCACATGTAGCTACTAACTACCATGTCGAACAACGCAGATCTAAAGAATTGCCGGTCTATTAAAAACACTTAGATTACTGTAGTTCTCTTGAAGAAAACTCAGCCTCTAAGTTAATATATATTATCTTACAGGCCCAAGAACACCTCATTATGGAAAAATGATGACTCAGTGGGGGCTTTACACAGTGTCATGTTTGAAGGCTGTTAAACAATATTTAACTTGCATTTAGCTAACTATGCAGAACTGATACCAATTTAAGCATTTTGCATTGACAACTATAATAAAGGATGTCTTTTTGGAATAATAATCTTATTCAGACTACACTCATTCAGCTGTTTGTCAAGACTTTTGTATTCCCAATTACAAATGAAAAGACTAATAACGGTGTGCCAGTCTCGTTAAGCTGTGGGGGCACGATAATTCTCTGAGATAAACTGTAAATTATAGTTTTTTAGAAGACTGCTGGGTATGCTAGAAAATCTGCTGCAAAGTGTACTGATGTGGTGTTAAGAGCAGTGAGATACTGAGAGTTGGTAGCTAATGGTCTTCCAGTGAAAGTGTCCAACCAAGAGCTGTGGATACTGACTAAACCAGAAACCAGAAATCTGTGGGGGCTGTCATGTCCTAGAACCTGGAGTTCAATACACTCTACTACACCCAAGTATGATTTAAAGAAATGATTCCATCATGCCTTGGTGTCTTACGTACAGCTACATAATCAGCATGCTTCCATTCATAGCCATTTTTAGAGCCCGAGAAACAACTTCTGCAAGTGTCCAAGGTGGCCCACAGCTGTTAAAGTTATCACCTCTTCTATCTCCTGACAAAGATCACAGTCACAGACAGCTACTCCATCACCAGTTATCTCCTCGCTGTTGAAAACAGGTCAATAAAGCCCTTTGGTTGGGAACCTGAGTTTCTTCAATCTAGGGTTATGCACAATTTTAAGAAATAGCAGACAAGCCAAACTTATTTCAGAGACAGGGGTATCTATAATCAAAGTTCTAACTGAAATAATAAAGAAAATGAGTTGAAGGTTTTTGGCAAGCTGTATGTACTTAATCTCTTTGGTTCTTTGTGTAAAAAAAAAAATATTTAATTTAAAAAGCCACCACTCCACCCACATTTCTAACAAATAGTAGTTACACAGGATGCTTCTTGAGATAATTGCTATAGAAACTGGATCGATTCATTCGATTTTCTCCTCAAGAGATAACTTACGCCCAGTATTTTCATTTTATACTGATAAGTACTCCTCATCAGTTTGCATTGCATTCCTTTGCAAGCACCTATGTTTTCTCCATTGGTTCTGCTCTGACTCACTTATTTTATGGTAGCTTCCAACATTTAAGAAGATAGAGGGAATCACGTATGAGAAGATAAGACACAGCCCTGATAGTGGGAGACATAAGATGTGGTCTTCAGAAGATACTGTGTTTGAAAGAAGGTCACATGAAGGAAATATCTCAGCTCAAGATGTATCAAGACATGAATTCTTACCTATGATGTGGCTCTGAAATGCAGAATCCACAACTGTATCTTCTTCATCCTCTTGCAGGTTTTCATTTGTCTCTTTTACCTGCAGCAACAAAAAAATTACTGTAAGTTCTTATTTATTATATTAAATACATCTTTTGCCATGCTCAGAATAATGGTACATTCTATAACACGTGTGTTTGTATACATATATGAATATGTTTTCTTCAATCCACTTTTTCCCTCTCTATCTCTTGGCTTTATTACAAGTTTTAATTACATGTTTTAATTGTAAGAGCATATTTTCCAAAATATAACGCCAGGTCTGGAAATGAGGATTTATAGGGCGCCTGATTCTACATAAGATTTTGGAGATAACAGCTTTGGTTTTTAATACCTAATAAAGTCAGTAACTCAGAGCCGTCAGTAAAATTTAAAGTCTAAGGAAATATAATTCTCCCAGAGTCAGTGACTTCCACCATGTTATTTCAATAAGAACAAAGAAATATATTCAGATTTCCTGACCCTTTCCTAGAATATAACTCTCCAAGAAAATGATCTTTTTTTGTTCTTTCTATAATGAAACATGAAGAGACTATGATACGTGCTCAGCGAACTAGAGCAGTGACACATTTATCTAGATTTTCAGGTCAAAAACATTCCCCTTATATTTCAGCTGGAATATCCAGAAGCTGAACAGTACAAAATCAAATGAAACTCTAGAGAGTATCTAATAACATTATAGTATTTTACAAACGATAATTTTGAGATCCAGCAAGTTTCCTTAAATGTATTGTAAGTGGCAGTACTAGAAGTAAAGCCCAGGCCTGCTACTTCCCAATCTAGTAGCACCAGCAGTAATAATATCATCAGCGATGTCAATAGTGATAAAAACATAAAACATGTAAATACTGTGTAGCAGGTGCTGTCTAAGCCTTTCATACCTATGTTCTCATAATCCTCACAACAATGCTAGGAAGTAGGTACTATTGTTAGCTCCATTTTAGAGGTAAGCACCCTGGAGAAACAGACAAGATAAGTAATTGTATAAGTGGTGGAACTGGGATTTGCACACAGCAAATCTGGCTTGAGATTTGTGTTTATTTGGAGGCACTTTGTTATTCTCAAATTTCTGTTTGACTATGTCAACGAAGACTTGGCCTCACTATCAAGACAGCTTATGGTCCTTAGAAGAATGACCTTCAATAGCTTTTTAAAAATATATCACAGCCAGTCACCAGGGCAGCCAATAATAATAAGGCGAACTATGTAATGAATGCAGTGGGGGTTCTACTTAGGCGCAAACATTAGAGGTTGTTAAATTTGCTACAGGGATCAAGTTGAATGCTATGAAACCCTTATTTTATATTCACAAAGTAGAAAGTCATATGGTTGCATACTGACCTTGAGCTAGATTTAGCTTTTTACTTTTTACCTCCTATTTTTCATATTTAATGGAATAAGACCAATTATTTATGACTGTGGTTCTAATATTAGAATGTAAATGGTGTGTAATCTGTACATGGTGATGGTCAGAAGATGGAAAACTCAAGAGAGTATGTAGATGGCTACCTGAACCTCACAAGAAGTGATTATTAAGGGTCGAATATCCAGAGGCTATGTTTCATCACTTACTTTCCCATCAGCCTTCTGTTCTGCAGGCACTCTCCTGTCAGCATCTCCAGAGGAAGATTAGGGGATGAGGGAAAAAGACTTCATCAACAAGCTCTTTTTCTAGTAGTGCACATTTATTTATTTATTTATTTATAATTTATTTTTTAGGCAAGGCAACCCTTGGTTGACCTCACAGATTGCAAGGAACTTGTCAGCTTACAATCCCTTATTTTTTTGTTTTTTAAGCCTACAGCACCTGGTCTTCCTAGGTGGTCTCCCATCCAAGTACTAACCAGGACCAACCTGCTTAGCTTCCGAAATCAGACAGGATTGGGCTTGTTTAGGGTAGCATGGCCGTAGACTAGTGGTGCACATTTATTAATGGCATAGAGGAAAAGTGCTATGAGCATCAGCAAGGCTAACGTGTTGCTGATCCGCATTCCCAGGTTCACCTAGCTCAGTAATCGGTTTGTGAAAAGGTTACCAGAAGACCCACTGAGGAAGCGATTCCCCCAAACACCTTACATTCCATTAACGATCCAACAAAAAACCTTCTATCCTCATTTAATGAAACATCAAGGAAAACTATTTATATTATCAGCCTGTACCAGCTTTTATGGCAATATGTTCCATATTTTCCTCCACCTATTATGTAAAATAGTATTTCCTTTAGGTTTTTCGAAAGTGACCGATTTTAAACTTAAGGGGGTGCCCTGCTAACCTACCTGCTGGAATGTGGGTGAATTATCTCCATCAGCCTTTGAAATTCTAAACTAAAGAATCTAACAATTAGAATTAAGAGTCTCATTTTATAGATAAGAAAAAAGCAGCTCAGAGAGGGGTTAGAGATCTGTTCAAGGGCATACAAGTTTTCAGTGTTAGAGTGGGCTCTCCTGATCCCTATTCATTACTGTAATTAAAAATTTCAGAGTGTGCTATATTGTTATAGTCATCCTTTCCAGACCTTCTCAAGAATTACTATATTTTTCTTAGTGTCTGGCAGATAGGTAGGCAGTATTCCAAGTATACATGAACTATATTTTTATTTAAGAGTAGCAAAAACTTTCACTGTGTGTGTAACCGCCCTGCTTCACTTCCCTACTTGTTCCCTAACCTTTCTGTAGGACTCAACCCTCATCTTTCTTCAAGTATCACATTTAAGAAAGAAAACAAAAGCCATCATGCGGTCCTACCTGTCAACTCCTTATCAGAACCTTTCTAGGGCGTTATGTGCTTAACAGCGAATTCTAAATATGGTCTCTGGGGATTTATCAGTGGCATTGGGCTTGAAGATAAGATCGTAGTTCTTTCAGCTCTCCTAGGCTAATGCCCCATGAGGAACAGATGACCCATGAGGGGGAATTTTGAATTTGAAGGAGACAGATGAAAAATCAGCAGAAGAATGTAAAATAGGGGAGCATCTTAGGATGGCACACCTGTCAGCTCTAATTATCTGTATGAATAGATTTCAATGCACAATGGCAAATAATTTTAAAAAATCCATTTGCCTATGGAAATGAGAGGCATACTTCATGTTGGCAGCAGATTCCCCTTGCTAATTATATTTTCCATAAGCCAAAATTAACATTAATTTTTATTTTTGAGCACACGGCGGCTGAGAATTGGTAAGAGGTTGTGGAAAGCTTCCTGGGGTTAAGAGGCTGCTGACTTAAGATCAAGAATTTGCCAAAGATAGACACAAATGGGATAATCTTCACATGGCAAGGTGTTTCAAAGATGGGAGTGGTCCAAAACCAAGAAGACTGGCTCCGAAAAGGATGGTGACTAAAGATTTAGAATTTTCTCATCCTTTGCTCTATCAGGAACAGATACAAATCAGTCGGTAATATACCGTTTGGTAAGAAGTAGCAAGTGACTCACAGGCAATAATCACGGCCTATTTGGGGTTTCAATTTGTTGTCAGTATTTTGGGCATCTTCTAATGGTGCATTTCCAGCTCTTGTCCACTTTTTGGGCTCTGAGGTTACAGTTGTGAACTGTACCAAGTACTGGTCTCTAACAGGTAATCATTAAATGTCACTGTACCCATTACTTTCTGTTAACCCCTACCATTAGAAAAGGCAAGGAGGAATGAGCTTACAAAGGACACAGAAGGAGAAGGAGAGAAAATAATTTACCACTGACCAGTATACATACATAATTTCAGACTTAAACCCAATATTCAGGGATGCCCTTCATTTGAAAGTCTGCATGTATTTCTTCTCTGAATCACCCTAATACTAATTGTTTCTCAAGAAAAGGACATTTGGATGTTAAAACTCATTGAAAAGGAAAAGAACACAATGAACCTAGGTGAGACAGGAAATGATCTTTGGTGCAGAACTCCCAGAGGGCCTTACCTTTAGAAAAGTTAATCATTTAGAAAACTTTGCAGGAGGAGGGCAAATATGCATGCTTCTTATTAGCATCAAAATGGCATTTAGAACAGAATTGTTCAATTAAGGATGTTGAAATTATAACACTTTACAGAACTTAATAAGATGATAATTTGTGTAATTATTGTACTATTTTATGCTATTTTATCACCACTGTACCATTTTAATGGGGTAAAATTTGATGCTTTTTTATTAGCATATGTGATTTTTTTTTTCTTTTTCAGACTGTGTGACACTGGGTGAAGAGAATACTCATAATTTAAATTAGAATACCCATATTAAAATGGCCATCTTTTTCCACTGCATGATGAAGGTATATGATCTCGTTAATTTCATTAATGATTTTTATTTTGTCCAATGATAGTTAAATAGGAGCCCAGAGCTCTCTTCCTTTGGGACTTCTCATTTCTGAAAATTATCTAAATCCACAGGAAGGAAGGACAACATGTAGCAAGCAGAGTACATTTCTTTCTGACTTATTTACTTATACTGATGAAATCTTTCCTGGGGATGCCTTTTCCCTCTTATAATGATTTTACATAATTTGAATAAAAGTACAAAGTAACATGGCCTTTGTCTAAATTACACAAAAATTGGAGCTAAGTGGTCTGTAAATGATGGCATAAATGGGGACATAAGCCTGTAATTAAGGTTCTGGAAAGAGAAAAAGATTTAATTCAACGAAACATTAATGGGAGTTTTACACATATTTTAGAATGTATCTAGCAATCTTGAAAATGGATATGCAGTTACTAGCAAACTAAATGGAGGTCTGCTACATAGATGAATTTGTTGTATGTATGGAAATAATCCTCCTACAATTATCATTGTAGATTAAAATAATTATAATGCCTTAGGACCCTCACAACTAAATATAGTTTTAGGATGGTGATGTATTATAAGGTTTTTGAACTGTGGTTTTATTTAGGAAAAAAAGTGTGATATGTAATGCATTCTGTGCAGCTACTGCTTCCATCCAAAATAACTACTATGAGAAGAATTTTTTGCAACAAACTTTAAAATAAGCAGATAGCAAATTTACCTTGAGCCTAAGTGGGGGAAAATTCCCTTAAACTCTGAATTTTAAAAGGTTCATGGGTATTCACATCGATGTGCTGTGGTATTAGAATACATCTTATTTTGCATCTAATCTCCTTCCTGATAGGCTGATAACATAAGAAATAGGTTTTCACTGCTATTCTTGTATAGTCCCAAAGGAGACTACGGCAATGTCCTTCCTGAAATTCGTAATTTTAGGCCCATCTACATTGATGATTATGGAGATAAAATAAAAAACATTGCATTTTACATTAAAAAAAAAAATGACCAGCTGGTCAATTATCAAGGTTAATAATATTCCTCTGTATGGAAAAGCTTCCAAGCATGACTAATTTTCTCTTATAGCTAACTAGAAAAATTAGCATATTCTTATTGATTATGTATATTTGGGGTGGTTAGGGAATCTTTGTACTTCACAGAAAATAATAAGACTTTCTTGCAGATATTCTGGAAGAACCAAAGGATACTTATTACTACACTGTGAAAGATGGCAGACGAGAGAGGAAAAGCATGGCAAATTACTTTAGCATTAGGAAGCAATAAGAAAGTAAAAATGAAATTGCAAAAGCCAAACAGAGGGACTTTTTGTTTTCTTTTGGGTTTTTTTTTTTGGTACTTCTGTACAGTGAAGATATACCCTCAGCTGTCAGAACTATATTAAATGGGGCACAGTTAAATTGAGTGTGTCTGATAAGGGGCTCTGCCAGGCTATCAAAGTTTTAGATCGTTTGGATTGAATTTCTGGCATATTGCACATTTCTACATGTTCATTCTTTCTCTTTCCTTTCAGTGACACTACAAGGGCAGCCTTAGATATGCTTATAATTTGTGGTCTTATAATGCAGGAGACACATCCATGTTTTCAAAGAAGGGATGATACCAATAGAAGCTAAGAGTAAAAATGGGGGGATAAGAAAAACTTTTGCCAAGAACATAATCTGCATATGATTTCAGAGCTTGAAAAAAAATGGCCTTATAGCTCTTCAGAGTCAAGAGCTATTTGAAAAGAATGTTAAATGTGCATTTGTCTCAAATTAAAGTATGTCTGAAAATCTAAGGAATCTTAAACATCAATAAGTAACTAAATTAATAATTAATAACTAATAATGCCAATTGTGATTACTTCTCAAACTTCTTCCATTTTTGAACTACTCTAGGAAAAAAATGTATAATTACTTCATACTTCAAGTTTTCCCTAATAAAATGGTAGCATGTACTATACTTTACAATCTTTTTAATAAGAATATAAATTTGTATGGATACAATAATCCTGCAAGAGAATTTTATTTTTTGGTTTAAGTGCTTTAAAATTTACAGAAAGTAACAAAACATCATTGAACCAATGAATGCAAGAACAAGAAGAATGTAAGGAGAGTAAGTGCAGTTTAAGGTAATTTTACAACAAAAATATTATTTGAAACTAGCATGCCCTGAGGAAATGTAACAATGTCCCTTTACTATTTTTTTTTTTTTTAAGTTCCAGACCTCTCAATTAAAAGACTAAATGCTAAAAAGACTAAATGAATCAAGTTCCAAAAAGGATTTCTTAGTCAGAATACCTTGTGTTTGGATAGGATGAATTGGTACATACAACTTTCAGGAAAAAAAATGCTTAAATCAAGTCATCAAAATAGTCAACATTTCTTAAATAGTGTGGCACTTTTATTTTTTTAATCATGTTCATTCCTTTTTTGTGTTGCTTGAAGTGATGGAAATAATCATCAAAATAGATTCGCAGCACAAGGGTATAACTTGAAGATGACACCAGCAGCTGCATTTGCCTGCGCCATCATTCTGAACAGAGCTAAGAAAGCAGTGTTATTAGAAGGAACCGGGCCCATTCGCCATCTGCCCATCATCTCTCTGCTGTAGTTGTCACTGAGCTTTCTCTCTTTTTTCTCTTTTGCTTTAACTTTCTCTTTCCTCCATAATCTCTGGCCCATATATTTTCACCAGCAAAGGGTAGAAAGAACTCAAACCAGCCCATCACGAAACCTCACAGTTTATCACTGGGATGGTGGAGCACTTACCAGGGAGCCTTTTGGTATTTCCACATCGGCTTTGGTTTTGATGTTTTTCTTGTGGTTTCCTTGAGCACTGATGGAGCTGCCGGTGAGACAGGAGCCCTGGGAGCTGCCCTTTAACACGCTCCTGCAGGAAACATTATTTGATCCACTTTCTGTCTGTTGAGCTGCTCTCTTATCAACTCTGCAGGTAGAAAGTGATTCCTCTGATAAATTACATTGCTCTTCTTCAATCACTCTACTTCCCAATCCTTTAATGTTTAAAGTAACCTCCATGTATCTTTTTGTCTTTAACCCTTATGGTGATGAGGGTTTCTCACTGGCCTTGATCAAATCTTTATCTGATATTCCAATAGTGTGTCTATTTAGATTTGACTATATAATACTTTATTTTTATGACTGCTCATAAGATGGGGGGAAGATAAAAATCACTGAAAAATGATTGTTAAATACATTTCTGGCCTAAGATCAGCAAGAAATGTAATTTCCTCTGGAAAGTTTCTAAGTATACGTTTGCTTGGTACAATCAATGAGATCGGCATACTTTAAAATGTCCATTTAATTTTCTTCCATTTCATGCCATGTGGGTATATTCATGGTTCCTAGTATAGGCTGAATTTCTTTCAACCTTGATAAAACTTACCATTCTTTAATTTCAAAGACCATTGGTTTGGTTAACAAAGTAACATGGACTAAATTATCATTTTATTGCTAACTTTTATTTCATTGTTTAAATTATGGCTAATGTATAAAAGACTGCTACTACGCATTTCTGCTTGTATGAAAAACATGCTTGGCTGGTGTTTAATGCTCAGGAAGCAAACACCTGCCTTTGCGGGTGGACGAGACCCCTTGACATCTCCACCCTCTTTGCCCATGCGTTACCTGTTCAAAAGTTCTGTCAGAAAGGTATCTTTTGCTGAACATGTAACAGGGCTGGGTCTATTTCTCAGTTCAAACTTCATTTGGTCATAAATGTCTTGTGGTGTTTTCAGATTATTTTTGCTTTGCAAACCACCGTGTGGATGATCTGCCAGCTCGGTGTCTCTTTTAAACTCGTTTTCTATCTCACACTGTAGCTCGGGCTTCTTTTTCTCTTTTTTTCTCTCTGATTTTAGCTGCTTGTTTCCAAACCCCAAGCTCTTTGTGTCTTTTTTCTCCACTTTGGTCTTGGAGACCTCCGTTTTCCTGCTACTAAGAGCAGGAAGTCTACTCCTCCGAAAACCAAACCAGCTGGCAAAAGAAGGCCCGGGCCTTGGCTTCGTTTCTGCAGATGTGGACTTTGTTTGCACTTGACCCTTTTCCACATTTTCCTGAATGCACAACATGACCTTTTCTTCAATTGTAGGTGAAATAAGGGCTTCTGGGCTCACGGCATTAGTCCTGGTGGTAGAAGTATCTGGTGGATACCTTTCAGAATTTTCTAGCTTGGGGGTCCTGCTTGTTTCAAAACTGCTTGGACGCTGTGTCCTCCCTGGGCTCTGCAGGGCTGGTGGGCAGTCTACTGGGGTGGGTGGGCATCCGCAGTCGTCGCCACCTGGTTCGTCAGGTGCAGCCACACTGGGGCCCCCTCCCTGGGCGTGGTCCTCACGTCTAGGTAGGGTGAGGATCCCTTCGGAGTTTGGAGGGATCCTCGAAGGCATCTTGCTTGGGCTTCCATGCTGGCTGCTGAAGCTGCCTGTGCTTCCCCGTGAGCCCTGCCTGGAGGAAGTATGCCCCAGAGGACTCGCAGCACTGGGGAGACTGTCAGGCACGGGGGCACAAGGGGTCCTGTTGGGAGAGCCTTCCGTGGAAGAGCTCTGCCGGGTGAGGGAATTGCCTCTCTCAGCAGTGTTGGTAATAATCTGGGTTCGGACTTTGCCTGGCCCTTCCACAGGGGGTGTGGGGGGCTTGTCTCCTGAGTGAGTGCTGAAACTCTGGCTTCGGGCTTTGGCTCCGTTCATGCCCAGTGCTGGTTTCAGGTGTGGCTTGTTGGAGGAAAGGGATCTTTTCACAGACCTGTTTTCTATTCCATCTTTTCCCTCAGCCTCAGGGATGCAATTTTCCAATGACTCTGGCGTTGCTGCTTCCAGGGGAAACCCTTCAGCCAAACTGTTTTGTGCTTGTGAACCTAGCGGAGTCACATGTCTTTCAGCCGCTGTGGTCTCAGAGCTTGTCGGATTCCTGGCGTGTTCTGGCTTAGACTTGCTTGCAGCCACAGAACTTTTAGAGGCTTCATTGAGACTGTCTTTTTCATGTTTCCCTGGCACAGTGGAACTTTTCCTGAGCAATTGGGGAGACTTCATGAGAACTTTGAGCCCAACTGGGAGGCGAGTTTTCAAACCTTTCTCATGAGCATTTTGACAACCTTGTGGGGCATTATGGCTTTTGGAGGACGGTGATGATGAGGGACTGTTAACCTGAGATGATGGTGAGTCCTTTACCCCTAAGAAAGAAGGTTTGGGTGATGTGGAGACACTGTCATTCAATTGTCCTTTTCTTCCTGGAGTTACAGTTTTGGAGGATGGTATTTCCAGTGGTCCATGGGTTGAAGGACAATTCTTGGAAGTCCGTAAAGCTGTGTCTGTTTGTATGGTCCCAAGTGTTTGGTGAGGTGGTATTTTGGGGACACCTCTCTTTGGAGAGACCTTTGGGGGCCCCGGGGCCATCATGACAACTGAGCTAGAGGGGGTACGAGCAGAGCATCTGGTTTGAATCGCTGTTTCTGTGGAGGGCAGAGGGTGAGTGAAGATGGGCTTTTTGAAGGCCACGGGTTTTTTCCCCTGCACTTCTGTCATGGTCTGATTAGAAGAAATAATAGGAGCGGAGGATCCTTTCAGAGGCGAGGATTTGAAAACAGTCCTTGCTGTCTCATTGGGGACCCTGGTCTCGGGCTTGGCAGATGAAGGTGGTGGCAAATAGTCATAACTGGGCCTGATAAGTAGGGAGACTGATCTGCCTGGAGGGGGAGGAGGGGAAGGTGATTTCAGCCCTGCCTCTGGCCCAGGGTCACAGTGCTTGTCCCTTGTGAGGGGCTCTCCATCGTCACTAGGCTTGGTGAGGGGCCTTGACAGCAACTGTGAGGCTGGAATCTGACTCTTGGGGCACTGGACCCAGTCCCTCCTGCTGGACATTTTGGAGCTGTGAGGAAGTTGGGTGGGGTGTTTTGGAATGTGTGAATCTGCTTGTACGTCAAAGAGGTAAGCTGGGCCTTCAGTCTTCCTGAACCGTGAGAGTTTCCCAGGAGCTAAGGCTGGTGATTTCTCAAGAGTCACTGGACCGGATGAAGGGACACTTGTGGAGGTTTCAAGCTCCATTGTTTTTGATTTCTGAGGTGAAGCCTTGCCTCTGGCAGGGATTTTTGTCAGACCTTGCTTCTGATAGATACCCATGGACACTGATGACCTAGAATTACTCTGGCATGACACAATATGGGTCGGTTTGGCCAGTTTTTGTTGCTGAGTACTTTGTGTTACTGCCCTGGGGCTGAAAGATTCAGTGGGTGCCTCAGCAACATTGTCTGCACCATCCTGTGGAATGTTTTTCTCGGTTTCCTCTTCAGGTCTCTTTAAGAAAGCATAGTCTCTTGCAGCAGCTCTGGGCTGTAAGTGAGCGATTCCCTGAGGTAAATGTTCAGTGTGTTCTGCCTTGGGTCCGGTCGGGGCCTGATTGATGGAAATTTCGTTTTGGGTAACAGTGACAACACCTGCTTGGTGAGAGCTGAATTCAATGGGTTCGCCATCTCCTGCATCAAATATCACAGTAATACATTCTTCTGAAGAAGTCCTTTTGACAACCCTTTGCTGCTTAATGAAACTGAATGTCTTTGGCCTACTCTCTAAGTGGATGGACGCTTGTCTTTCCTCCTCATGAGGAGAACCAAGTTGAGATTTTCCAAATTCCATGAGGACGTCCAGATTCTCCGTGGACTTGTCAGTGTCAGCAGTCAGTGACAAGTCTGAAGGGCTTTTCTCATCATTGCTATCTATATGCAACTCATCGAGGGTTTCATTGTCATCAGTGTCTGAAAGCTGGAGATTGAGAGCCATGTGGCTCTGACTGTGTGGACCCCTCTCTTTCTGTACCTGAGGTGCCTGAACACTTGGGCACAGCTTCCTCTCCAAGGGATAGTTGCTGGCACAACTGCGCAGCTTTTCAGGTCTTTCCCTGGAGTAAACTGAGGATGTGCCTTCTGAAAAGTGTTTTCCATTCGGCTCCCAGCCAAAGAGACTGTCAGAAACACTGTGGGTCAATTTACAAGCATGTAGCCTGCAGGCCTGGTTTGGAACAGCTTGAATCAACGCTAAGGAGGAAGGGTTCTCGTCGGCATCATCATGGGAATCTGTGTCATAAACAAATGCCTTGTGGGGCTCCTTGCAGGGGCTCCCTGTGTCCGTTGGTTTGCAGGGGGGAGACTCCTTGAGGCTGCTACTCTTAATTCCTGGAGAATATATTCCTTCATTTGAGTTCATGCAATCTTTATAACCCCATTTGGTTATCACTGACGGGGGTTCAAGTAACACTTTTCGCTTCTGTAGCTTTCTTAGTCCTTCCAAAATGTGGCTTTCCTTGATACGAGTTGGAGGTAGTTCATCTGTAGGACTAGCAAAGCCACTTGGAAGCGAAGAATCAATACTTAGCCTTTTATCCCAGTTTTGTGATGATTGCTAGGAAAGAAAAATACATATCAGGAATAATATTTGTTCTAGTGGTTGATTGATATTTATAATAAATGCATACATTAATTAATTAATGCAAATGAAGTAATTATTTATGCAGCAAATCTCTACTTTTTCAGGTCCTGAACTAAGCAGTGTATAATATAAAGAAGCAGAGGATAAGGAGTCCTCGAGGAACACGCATCCCAGCTGAGGAGAGGACTTAGGCACAAATAGCTGAAAGTCAAGGGTACAGTGAGAAGTATAAATGTCATAGGTATTCCAGAAATTCAGAGAAAGGAGACCATATGTCTGTTTGGAAAAACCATGACAGCCATGTGAGGAAAGGTTTGTTTTTTTAAACTCACCTAGCCCTTGAAAGATGGCTAGGTTTGTCTTAGTTTAAAAGGATGGGGAAATATTTCCAGGTAGAAGAAATGGAATGACGAAGACCTAAATTGAGAAGGTATGTTTTAAAGTATACTTAGGGAATAACCAAAGATAGTATGGCCTAACCGTACAGTGTATGTGAGAGGTTGAGAGGGTAAATGGAAAAGTAAGCTGGTCCATGTCTTTATGGTCCCTTCCATTCTAACATTTGATAGTTAGAATGTCATATGACTTTGTGACTTTATTTGATAGGCAGTGAACATCTGTGAAATACAGCCTTACATATAACAGTGGGGCATTTGCTATTGGACCCATAGTAATGATTCACCTACTAAAAAAGGTTAATTTCTTGTCCTTCATACTTCTCCAAAAACTAGGGTTAGTTTTGGAGAAGTGACTAAGAAATGACATAGGAAGAACTGCATTCTACACAGACATTTATATTTTTCATAGTATTGCTAATAAGAAACAAAAGAATAGAAGGAAGGAACTAACACTAGCTGAGCATCTGCTGTGCACCAGCCACTTACATAGTGCTTTGATTTAATTTTTAGAACAACACCATGAAGGAGCCATTATCATCCTATTTGCTCAGGAGAAAACTGAGATTCAGCAAGATCGGCCTGCTGGATGTAGATCACACAGCTAAGGAAGAGCTAGAATGAAGATTTGAACTCTGGTTTCCTGGGCTCTTTCCGTGACTCAGTTCCAGAGTGGCCATGTGGGGATTTGAACCCAGAGAGTCTGGCTCTAGAGCCTGAACAAATAATCTGGATGTTATACTATTGGGATCAAGCTTAGCCTCTGTCCTCCCCTCTATAATTGTCAATGTTAGTCAATGTCATAACAGAGATCATAGGTTATCTCCACACGTCTCTTGAATGGAACTTGTAGTTTAATCACGAACCAGCACTCAGGAAAATTGGTGAGATGTGGGTACAGACCTAATGCCTTTTTAAAAAACACTATATAATTAATGGTGAAGAATTTCAATTAATGAACCTGGTGGTTTCAGATGTGCACTCTGTCTTGACTAAAAGTGCAGTTCCCACTGGCACCTATGCAGCAGCTGCCCCCCAGTCCCCTAACTCTGAACACTAACCATGTACTCATATGCAGAGGTTGAAAATACATTAAAAACTTACATTGGAATCTCAGCTTTTTAGTAAGCTGTGCACATTTGCTTACATCTAAGACATCTTCATAAAAATTACTCTTGCTATCAACAATATATGTTGTTTATTTGTCTTTTTATTTGTTATATTTCCTTTTTTTCAAATTATACATTTTCTTTAGAAAATTCTTTAGGGTCATAGTTGCTGTAGATAGATGCTATTTGGTGATGCTTCTCCTTCTCCATCCTCTTCCTCTGTGCTATTAAAAACTCCTTTGGAAATCATAAGAAATCCCATTAGTGAGTCCGAGTATTATAGACCAACCAGTGAGTGACTGCTACGGCTTGCATTTCTAAGAATTTCCATGATATCGATAGTCACATTCACAATGAAGAAGAGAAGCCAGGCCAAAGGACCCTGCAAGAGCTTGAGAAAGGCCAATTTGTTCAGCCCATAGAAGATGTACTCAGACTCTGCCCGCCCACCTCTTTTCTGCCTCTCCAGAGCCTGCCCACACTGTGGTTTAATCCATCCCAGGGCCAGCGGATGCAGACCTCCCAGGGCCCAGGCTCTCTGCCTGGTGAGACAAGCTGCATTCCTCAATCAGTTTTCCATAGGAAGTTATGGTATTTAATAACCTGTAAAAAGTGTGGCATAATCTTGAAACTTGAAAAAAAAAAAAAGCATGAATGAATCCCTATGGAGAGACAGTGGGGAGGACCCTGCATTTCCCACAGGCAGCTTCATTTTGCTGGAAACCTGGAAGAGCATTGATTTGGGGAGAGTTGGTTGAAAGAAGCTGCTAAGGTAGGGGCCCGGGTTTAATGTTCAGAGTCCTTTTCTATTTCTTGGCTGGACAACAGTTCTATACTTTTTTTTTTTTTTTTTTAAGGACATTCTTGGTTTTAATGGAAATTAATACATCCCAGCGATTGGAACAACTCCAAGTTTTAGGCCGATTCAATAAGGCCGGTATAGCCGAATGTTTAAGAGAGAAGGTTATAGAACCAACTGCCCAGCTCCGCCACTTACTACCTATAAGATCTTGGGCTAGTTCCTTAATTTCTCAGCATCTCGGTTTCCTCATCCAAAAATGGAGTGGTTGGAGAACCTATTTGACAAGCTATCCTGAACATTGGATGAGCTACTTCTTATGAAGTGCTAATAAAGCTGTGCGGCGTGTGGTAATTACTCATTTATTAGAGTCAGATGCTCCACGTAGGACAGGCTGATGCATGTCATGAGGGCTTCCTTTCTGTTTCTAAACAAAACAGTACTAAAAAAATACTTGTGAACTACAAAGGAGCTACTGGCCATGTATTTATTAATATGTAAGTTAATATTGTATTCACATTCAAATTCATATTATATAAATTTATTATGTAAGTTAATACTAACGAAGTACCTGGTACATAGTAAAAACTATATAAGTTTATTAAATAATATAAATTTAGAATATCTTTACAAGACTGGGTCTAGTTTGCAGGATCCCTGACCACTGGGACCCTTCTCTGTGAGATGTGACAGCTGTGCTGGCACTCTGACCATTCTGATCCAGACCCCATTAAATCTCCAGATGATGGTCACTTGACTGTGTGTATAAAGTGTCTTAAGAACCTTATTGATCCTTTTTCAGGGAAGAGGTTTCCCTAAAAATCAAGGATTGCTCAAATTAGAAGAATTTCAGGAGAGAGAGAGAGTTAGAGAGAGAGGAAGAAAGAAAAGAAAAAAGGCTCTGAAAGAGAGAGAAGAGGTGTGAGAATGAAGACAGTAGAGCAAGAGGCTCTGAGAGTCAGTGATAGTCACAGACAAAGAGAAAGGACATCCCTGCCCCTTCTCCTGGTCTGTTAAGAGCCAGGCTCCTAGAAGTCATTATTCACAATTTCAAACGTCTCCTTAGAAGGAACAATTTTGATAATGCACCAGGCTCCTTACTTTGGAAGTCCGAGCCCAAGGAAATAAACTCTAAATTCAAATTTGAAATTTTTTTCTGAGTTCTTGTCCAGAGTATAACAAAGCTAGCCACTAACCAATATTTTCTGGCAGTTATGGAATTTTCCTGGTTTCTATGCTTCTGAAGTTATAAACTAAATTCATGAGAATAATAGAAACAGGTCCTCCAAATGGTCTGATTTGAGATTTCTGTTCTCATGTACTCCGCTTTTCCTCAACATTGGGAAACTTCAAAAAAGCTACTTCAAATACTTGGCTTACACCACTTTGCAAAAATGTTTGTTCAAAGCACGCAGGAATGATCAGTTGTGTGAGCCCACTCTGTAGATGGAAAACATTCTAGCAGTAGGGGTTAATTAAAAACCTGGTAAAGGAACGGCTCACATTTAAATAGGAACATGCCGGCCTTTGCTGAGCCATGATGCCTGTCATCTACCATGGTATTTTCTCTCTCTACTATCCTGCCTTCCAATTTATAGTCAGTCAGTATTTTATGAGGCTACAGAATTGAGTAGAGGAGGTCAATATAATACATGCTATTTTTGAGCAGTAAATTCCTACTAAGTGAATGAGACTTCCAAAACTTTTGGCCATTTATTGAGATAATTCACCACTCTCCCTATTCTCTAGAAGAAATAAACAAAACAAAACAACAACAACAAAAATCATTCTCTTTGAGTTCTCATGGGATGCTCGGTCAGGAATAGCTTGGCAAGTGGTCTCGCTGACTCTCATTTGCAGTGAACAGTAACAAGTCTCTCTATTATAGTGATAGAGAATCTCCATAAAACTAATGGGAAATGTCTGAGTTAGTCTGAAGTGTGGCCAGTTCCATTAGGCCAAGGCTCTGGGTTCCAGATTAACAGAAATCTGTAAACTCAGTGGGCTCCACCAATGCACAGAAGGAAAATATCTTTCTCTTCCCAATTCCCTTCCATGACGTCCAAATCATTTGGGATCAAATTATCATCCCTCACTTGCTGTGTGACTTCTGGCAAGTAACCTTATGAGCAAGTTCCCCCTCCCTATATAATTGGTAGAATAATATAGTTTTTATGAGGAGTAAATGAACAGGTACTCAGCGAATGGTCGTTTCCTTCTGCTTGTTCCCTCTCTTCTCCCTTCTGCCTTCCTATCAGAAGAAGATTATTTTTCTGGTTCACCCTGATGCAAAAGCACCTTGAAAGGAAGTCTTACCCTTTTTGTGAGGTTCTTCCCTTCATGCCAGGTGTAGGAGGAGCCACTGGAGTACTCGCTGCAGGTGCTCGAAAGAGACAGTTCACTGCTGCTGCAGCTATTTCGAGAACAGAGATGACCAGGGATGACAACCCCCAAGCCAGGGCATGTCAAAGCAGGGGTTCTTGATTTTGCATTCAGCTGG